GAGATGAGGTCTCGCCGCCCAGGCGGGTCTCGAACCTGTGGGCTCAGGCCATCCACTCACGTCAGCCTCCCAAAGGTATGGGATGACAGGCTGAGCCACCGAGCCCGGCTTTTATGGACTCTTACTGAGCCCCACCAGGCCCTCGAGGCAAGCTGGGGGCGGGACCACGCAGGGCGCGGCATCACGCCTCGCCACACATGCACCATCACGCATCACGCCTCGCCACACACGCGCCGCCGCTTGCCTCTGGCAAGCCCCACTGCGCCTCCTTTTCCAGCTGTTTTCAAATGTCTCAGGCCAGGCTTCCTCACTTGGGGCTTTTCCTGATACAGAGGATCTTTCTCGTGAAAGAACCTGCACATGCAATAGTACGAAGCACCCACGAAATCTGAATACCTGTGGCAGAAAACAGCATCAAACGGCAGTGACTAAAAGCCCCCCGGTTCTTTAAGCAACTCCCAGAGCCATGGCCAGTCCACTCTGAACTGCTGTCTTGTCAATGGCACGATTAACATTGCATGTAGGAGCAGATTTTAGCACCAGCAAGAAGACAACACACATGAGCAGACACGGCTGGAGATTTCCCCAAGGATGAGAACGGGCTCCTTACTGAAAGTCCCTGGAATTCCAGCATTGGGGTGACCTGGGAGGGAGAAGCTGCAGGGCGGCGTTCAGAGACAGAGAACCAGAGCACCCCGAGGTCGGAGGGCTCCTCGCTCCGTGCACTGGACGGCCGTGATGCAAACAGAAGAATGTGCAGAAAGACGCAGCACCCATGAGAACAGAAGGCGTCTGCAAGCGCGCTCACCTATGTGGGTCTGGGCCATGACGTCGGCCAGCCTGTGGGCGGCCCCGCTGCCCCCGCTCTGGGTCGAGGACGAGGAGGTGGTGGACGTGGTGGAGCCGTGGATGGCCTGGCTGATCCAGTGCTCCATGTTGATGCTGCCCTGGCTGGAGGTGGGGGTTCCCTGGGAGTCGCCCTGCACCGAGCCTTCGTCTTCCGAGCCCGAAGAGGTATCTGCAAAGAGAGGCGAGGGGCCGTGAGCCGCGGCAAAGACCTCAACCTCAGAGCCTCTCCAGACTCACACACACAGGGTTACCTCCTGTGTGCCTCAATAGCTGCTCAATGGCCTTTTGCTTTAAACACTCCCGAAAAAGCTTACCATTCTTCAGATCACAAATCATTCTTTTAGTGTAGTAATTTTTTCACCCAAAACGCCTGAAATAAATATGCTACCAAAGGCTTGTTCTGACAGTATCATCTCAAAGACACTCACCAATTTCCTCCACACAAGAGTTTGGGAAGGAACCCAGTGCTTTCTTTGGGCGCATACACCAAGGAAAAGGCAGGGCCGGATCTCCCAGGTGCTGAATGCATGTGCTACATTCATGGGCTTCGAGATGTGACTGTTTTTAGCCCTTGTCAACGCTACACAGTCCTCCGAGCGACCGTTTATTTCTAAATTCAGTGTGAGTGCAAGAAACCCAGCACCCTGCTCAGAGGCTGAGGTACTGAAACAGTGTAGAAAGAACGCACCGCACGTGGAACAGCCCACCCGCCCTGACCCCACACCCTCAAGCCTCTGCCTCCTTCTCCTGAGCATACAGTAAACGTTCGTCACATCATACTTTATGCTCAGACTAACTGTTTACTTTTACAGTATTCATTTCTTATACATTCTCACATTGCAGCAGATTTATTTTTCTGTCTATACAGACTGGCTATCTTGGATTGAGATAAAACATATTTTTTTCTGACAATTGATGAAAATATCTTTAATTTCATAACTTGTTACATAGCATCAAGGGTTTTAAGAACGAACTATTGGTGTGTTTGCTATTTAAACTTCAATGTGAGGATGACATTTAGAATCCCACCTACAGGTGAGTCAGGCCGGGAAATGCAAGCGAGCAGCTCTAGAACATTCAATGAGGTTGAGAGTCATGACAATCTTAAGACAGGATGTTTCCCACAACCATAGTGTAAAGAATGTTCACACTGTTAGTACCACTGTCACATGACCTATGCTGCTTGGAAATTTTTTTTAAGTTTACTTGTTAGAGACTTCTTAGAAAAGCAACAATATTAAGAGCCTGAAAATTCTCTTTTCCTACCTTACCTTTTAACAGAACTTACACAATTTATATGAAAAGTTCACACAACTTACATATTCCGACTCGAGACTTTTGAGAAGTGTGCATACCATGTACCCATACCAAACATAACCATCTCCCCAGAAAGCCTCCTCGTGACACTTGGTGATCTTTCATTCTCCTCGCCCACCTATCTTCTGCAAGAAAACTACAGAATAACACCCCTCATGACAGACACAGAGTCCTCAACAAAATAGTAGCAAACCAAATAAGCAACGTATAAGATAGATAATACACCATGGCCTAGGGGTGACTAGAATTATACACTATACACAGGGATTAAGGTAGATTTAACATTCAAAGGTTAACTAACACTACACAACTTACTAGCAGAATAAAGGGAGAAAAACCACGTTAACCTTATAAGACATGGAAAAAGTCTTTGACCAATTAAAGACAGACTCTTAATGAAGTAGAAGTAGATGGACATTTCCTCTACCTGGTAAAGGCATTTGCGGAGAACCCACGGCTAAACTGCATCTATGATAAGATATCGATGCATTTCTCTTAAGACTGACAAGAGACAAGGATGTTTCCTCTTGCCATTTTACTCAACGTTAATCTGGAAAGTTCTAGCTCATAAAACAATACATACATTATAAATGAAAGACATCCAGAATAGAAAGGAAGAGATAAACGTGTCTTTATTCACAGATGACATTATTTGGTTTGTAGAAAACTGCAGGGAATCTACCAGAATTTTTTTATTTTTTTTGAATTACTAAAAAAATGAGTTTGGCAAGGTCGCAGTACACAAAATATAAAAGGTATAGAAACAAGCAGTGAACATTTTGCCATCTGTATATATTTTTTGGTGAGGTGTCTGATAAAGTCTTTGGCTGATTTTTTAATCAGGTTGATTGTTTTCTTATTGCTGAGTTTTTAAAGAGTTCTTTGTATACTTTGAATAAAAATTCTTTTTTTTTTTTTGAGTTGGGGTCTTACTCCATTTCCCAGATCCAGGGTGGAGTGTAATGACATGAACGTGGTTCACCACAGCTTCGATCTGCTGGGCTCAGGCGATCCCTCTGCCTCAGCCTCCCAAGTAGCTGGGACTACAGGTACACAACAAACATCCAGCAAATTTTTTGATTTTTTTTGTAGAGACAAAGTTTCACTATGTTACCCAGTCTGGTCTTAAACTCTTGGATTCCAGCAATTCTCCCACCTTGGCCTCCTCCCAATGTGCCAGGATTACAGGAGTGAGTCACTGCGCTCAGCCTAAAAGTTCTTTATCATATATAGGCCTTTTGGACAATATTTTCTGCCAGTCTGTGGTTTATATTTTCATCCTTTGATAGTGTCTTTCATAAAGCAGGAAATGTTAATTTTAATGAAGTCCAGCTAATCAATTCATTTTTTTTCACAGAGTTCAACTTTGGTGTCATATCTAAAGAGTTATCACCAAACCAAAGTCACCTAGATTTTCTCCTGGGCTATCTTCTGGGAGTCTTAGAGTTTTGCATTTTACATTTAGGTCTATCATCTATTTTAACAGGCAGGGATACTCACTACTGCAGTAACAAGGATAGGTGCTGTGTGACCTATCTTTAGTTAATTTTGCGAAGGGTGTAAGGTCTGTAACTAGATGCATTTTTTTGGCCTGTGAATACCCTGTTCTTTCAGCACCATTTGCTGAGAAGATGATCCTTTGCTCCTTTGTCAAAGTTGAGTTGACTCTATATGGATTTTTTTATGGGGCTCTCTAGCCTGTTCAGTTGAAAATGTTTGTTATTTCACCAGTATCATGCTATCTTGACTATTGTAGCTTTATAGGAAGTCTTGAAGTCAGGTAGCACCAGTCTCCAGCTTTGCTCTCCTTCAGTGCTGAAGTGGCCATGATTCTGGGATTTCTGCCTCTCCAAATAAACTTGAGAATCAGTTTGTTGAGATCTAAAAAACAGAACCTGTTGGGATTCTGATTGGGACTGCATGGAATCTATACATCAAGTTGGGAAGGAATAACACCTTGACAATATCCAGTTTTCCTGTCCATATATATGGAATGCCTATCTACTTGGTTTTTCTGTGAGTTTTTAATCATAATTTTAGTTTCCTTATATATTGTACATATTTTGTTAGATTTGTGCCCAGGTATTTCACTTTTGGAGTTCTAACGCAAATGGCATCATATTTTTAATTTCAAATTCCACCTGTTCATTGTTGATATAGAGGAAAACTACTGACTTCTGAATATTAAGCTCAGATCCTCCAAATTCCTATAACCACTTAAGAGTTCCAGGATATTTTGATTTGTTTTTAGGTCATCTCTTTTGGACTTCTCACATAGATAAGCACGTCACCTACGAACAAGGTGTTGCTTCTCCTTTCCCAGCCAAAATGCTTTTTCTAGCCTCAATGGCATTGGCTAGGACTTCAAGTAAATTGTTAAGAAGGAGTGGCGAGAGGGAACATCCTTGCCTTTTTCCTGATCTTAGTGGGAAAGCTTCTAGTTTCTCCACATTGAGTATGACGTTAGCAGTAGGGTTTCTTTGTAAAGTTAAGGAAGTTCTCCTCTATTCCTAGTTTACTGAGAATTTTTATTATAAATGAGTGTTAGATTTTGTCAAATTCTTTTTCTGCATCTATTGATATGATCGTGTGCTTTATCTTCTGCAGACTGTTGATGTGATGAATTACATTAATTGGTATTCAAATAGTAAACCAGCCTTGCATACATGGAATAAATCCCACGGTTCTGGTGCACAATTCTTTCTGTACATTGTGGGATTTGCCAGTATTTTGAGGATTACTGCATGTATGCTCATGAGAGACGTTGCTCTGTAGCTTTCTTGGAGTGCTTTGTTCTACTTTCAGTATCAGAATGATATTGGCTTCACAGGATGAATTAAGATGTATTCCTTAGCTTTTATGTTATGAAAGAGATTATAGAGAATTATGATTTCCTCTTAGGTGTTTGGTAAAATTCATCAGTGAGCCCATTTGGGTCTGGTGCCTTCCATTCTGGAAGGTTATTAATTACTGATACAATTTTTTAGCAGATGCATGCCTACATTAATGGTACATCTTTTGTTTGAATTTTGGCAGATTGTATGTCTTTAAGAAATTGGACCATTTTGATTAGGTCATCAAATTTGCAGCCATATGCTTGCTCACAGCGTTCCTTTACCATCCTTTTGACGTCCATGGAATCTGTAGTGATGTCACTTACTTCATCTCTGATATTGGTAATTGGTATCCTCTCTCTTTTTTCTTAGTTAGCCTGCCTAGAGACTTACAGGTTTTTTCTTTTCAAAGAATAAGCTTTTGGATTCACTGATTTTCTCTACTGATTGGCTTAGAACCTAATTTTCTCTTCTTTTTCTAGTTTCCTAAGGTGGAGTTACTGATTTTAGATCTTTCTTCTTTTCTAATATATACATTCAAAACTACAAATTTCCCTCCAAGCACTGCTGTTACTAAATCTTGTAATTGCTGTAGTGTTTTCATTTTCATTTAGTTCAGAATTTTAAAAATTTTTCTCGAGATTTCTTCCTTGACCAATGTGACATCTAAATGTATTAGAAGTGTATTGTTGAATTTCTGAATATTATTAGACTTTCCAATTATCTGTTATTGATTTTTAGTTTAATTCTGTTGTGGTTGAGAACATACTCATTTGAGTCCTATTCTTTTAAATTTGTTAAGGTGGGTTTTATGGTCCCAAATGTGGTCTATCTTGGTGAATGTTCCATGTAAGCTAATGTATTCTGCTGTTGTTGAAGAAAATAGTCTATGAATGTCAATTCTGTCCAGTTGATTGATGGCACTATTGAATTCAATTTTGTACTTTCTGATTTTCTGGCTGCTGAGTCAGTCCATTTCTGATAGAGAGGTGCTGAAATCTTCAATAGTGAATTCATC